GAAGTCTTAATTATATGATAACTTAATTATATGAACTTAACAACTGAAAAAACATCCGGTTTTGTTTTTATATAAAAACATTTTATAAAAAATAATTGTTATGTTAATATGATATTTTTTTTAATTTTGACAACTAAAGTTTGTAAAAGTTTATGAAAAATTAGTTTATAAAAGTTTAGTTTATAAAAGTTCAGATATAGAACAACATTTATTGGTAAGATTATATTTAAATTTTAAAAAATTAATAATTTAAATAATATAATTATTTAAAAACTTCTTTTTTTACAACATTTATTAATATTAATAATAATAATATTAAGAACAACATTTATTAAAAATTATATTTATTAAAAAACTTTTTTTACATTCAATTAAGTAGAAGAATTTTATTTTTATTTTTAGGAAATACTTTCATACTAAATAATTTATCTTATTAAGATGTGTTCTATTGGGTTAATGACATCAGATGCTTGCGAAGGCCAACAAGATGTTATTGAAACTTTAAGCAATGAAGAAAAAATAATTATATCTTTACGCTGTAATATTAAATTATCAAACTTAGGAATATTATGTGAAAGACATAATACAAAATATTTGAAAATGTATCCTATATGGCAGAAAGCTTGTTGTGATCCATTCAATAGACATACAAAAAAAATCACAAGTATGTAGTTACAATAAAAGAGTCACAAGTCATGATGAGAAATTGTTTGAATATTCCTCCTGGGAAGAAACTTTGCAAACCTTGTAAACAAAAGATTGCCAGAAAAAAAAAACTTACAGAAGAGGAGCAAAGTAAGAGTGAACAAGATGAGGATTTTCTAATATCACCATGCAAAAAAATAAGACAGGAGATCAATAAAGAACTCAAAAATTTTAGTTTATCTCCTCTAAAATCTCATTCAAAATCATTAAAACATATACTGTCAGAAGGAAAGCAAGAAGTTGCATGCATCAACGAAATGGCGTATAACGCTACTAGAAAAATTGAAACTCAATTTTCCTCAAAACTATGTTATGAAACCAATGGGATGAAAAAGAAGGCTGCAAACTTTGATGAAATTATGAGCTTGGTAAAAGAAAAAATTCTATGTTCTGACAAACGAACTATTGTTCAACTTCTAACACTGGCACCCCCAAGTTGGTCAATATTAGAAGTACAAAATAACTTTTCGGTTACAGAATACCAGGCCAAGATGGCTAGAAAAATTTTTAATAAAAAAGGATTGTTAGGTATCTCTCCATTGATTAAAGGGTAAAGTCTTACATAAAGAAATAGAAGATTCAGTTAAATTGTTTTATGACTCAAGTGATTTATGTCGAACTATGCCTGGAAAAAAAGATTATGTCAGCATTCAAAAGAACGTCCACAAACAAAAAAAACTGCTTTTGTGTAATTTAAAGGAACTATATGTATTATACAAAGAAAACAATCCAGAAATACAAATAAGTTACTCAAAATTTGCTTCACTTAGACCAAAGTGGTGCATTTTGCCAGGTGCAAGTGGTACACATTCTGTTTGTGTTTGTTCTTATCACCAAAATGCCATTTTGCTAGTGGATGCCTTAAATATTGAACTAACGTATAAGGATTTACTTTTGAAAACTGTTTGCTCAGTAGAAAACAAAGAATGCATGCTTGCACAGTGTGATAATTGTCCTGGTAAAGAACTGCTCACCATGTATTTGTATGAGATTTTTGGAGAATACGAAGATGATTTTGAGATACACTACAAACAATGGCAAACTACTGATCGTGCAACACTATTGAGTTTAACAACAGATGTTCCAACGTTTATTGAACTATTGGTATCTTGTTTTGAAAAGCTACAATCTCATTCTTATATTGCCAAATCTCAATCACAATACCTTAATCAACTAAAAGAAAATATGGATCAATCAAACATTATCATTCTTGGCGACTTTGCTGAAAATTATGCTTTTGTAGTCCAAAATGAAATACAGAGCTATCACTGGAACACCCAACAATGTTCTTTACATCCATTAGTGATATACTATAAATAAGAAAATGGTGTAGTGAAACATATTTCTTACTGTTTTATATCAGACGACATTACACACGATGTAACTTATGTATACAAGATATTTCAACTAATTATACCAATATTAAAAACGAAATTTCTTGATTTATCCAAATTGCATTTATTCACTGATGGTTGTGCAGGACAGTACAAAAATTGTAAAAGCTTTTACAATCTATGCCAACTAGAGACAGAATTTTCCCTCAAAATTGAATGGAACTTTTTTGACACGTCCCACGGAAAGTCACCATGCGATGGAATTGGTGGTACTGTAAAAAGGTTAACAGCACAAGAAAGTATAAAACGACCATACAAAAACCAAATTCTCACATCAGAGGCTATGTATGAATTTTGTGTTGAGAAAATTAAGGCTGTTAACTTCATTTACATAAAGGGATTGGACTTACAATTGCAACGTGAAAAGCAAAAAGAAAGGTACACTGATGTAACAACTCTACCAGGTACTCGTAGCTTTCATCAATTTATACATCTTGGAGATAATAGGGTTGGGGCGAAGAGGTGTAGTACAGACACTAAATATACAATAATTCACAATCTTAAAAAGAAACATATATTTGAACCTGATACTGTCACTTTAGGAGGTTATGTTGCGGTAGTTTATGATGATAAGTGGTGGATCGGCATTGTAACTGAAATCAACCTAAAAGAAGTTGATGCTGAAGTTAAGTTTCTCCACCCAAGAGGTCCATCAATCTATTTTAACTGGCCTGAAAGAGACGACCACTGTTTTATTCCTAACATCAATATATTGAAAAAACTATCTGTTCCACAAGCTTGCTCTAGTTCTGGTAGAAACTATGTGTTTGAAAATGTTGAAATAGAAGAAGTGCAAGTAAAATGGCAACAATATTGTGAACTATTACAAATACAGTCAAAATAACTTGCACATTCGATACCTTTAAAAATCTTGTATATTTAAGTAACTTTGTAAATTAGGAATAATTTATTTTAATTGAATTTATAAATATTTTTTAGGAATTTCTTAAAAAAGTTATACATCTTTAAAATTAAAGTTCTATATGTTTCAGTTTTTTTTCCAGTTAGATTTTTTGTGCCTAGTAAGATTATAACTAGCTTAAAATATTGAAAGCAAAAAAAAAAAAATTTGACGGGGGTGTTTTGAGATATTGGGCCCTAAAGTTAGATTATATAAACTAGTTGATTTATTAATTTTTAAGGATGTTCCTCTAACATTTCAGCATTTTAAGTACATTTAAGTACATACATTAAAAAACCATTATAAATGTATATTTTTATATTTTTGCCATTTTTATTTCTTATTTTATTGAGGAAAACAACTTTTCAGAATGTTATGAAAACCGGGTCATTTTGAGAAACCAGGTCCAAATTAAATTTGCTGTATCTTGTCAACCGCTTGACATTTTTAGCTGAAATTTTGCATGCAATATTTTTTTATAAATAGGAATCATGTGTCAAAATATAAAACAAAAAGAAGACACATGGTTCAATGGAGTGGGTGATTTGATGTGGAATTACCCAACTGTCAATTTGTCTGGAACCACCAACACAATAACCTACCTTTAACTTTCATCAATTTCTTATCTGAAAGAGCTAACACTTGTTATCACCTTTGTTCCAATAGTAATCTTAACCTGTCTGTCTTTAAATACTGTTCTCATAATTACGGACATGAATCTATAAGATATCAAAGCATTAAAACTTGGAACAACCTTCCTTATGAATTATAAAATCTTAATTCATTCTCAACCTTTAAAACCAGTTTATTATACTTTTTATTAAAAAAATACTGTTAATATTTATAACTTCTATAATCTATTTTTGTTGTCTTTATTATTATTTTTGTTAATAAAACACATTTGCCAATTCTAGTTTCTATAATAACTTTTGCTGTCATTACTATTGCTTATTGTTATTTTTATAAATATTTACAATACTATTATTAACTACTTTTAACTATTATTACTATTATTAAGTTATTTATATTATTATTATAGTAATTATTATTGTTATTATTGGTTTATTGTTTTTATAATAATAGTTTTTTTACTACTGTCATTATTGTTGTTGTTATATTATTGTTGTTATATTTTTATAGGATAACTTTTTATAATTACTATTATTGATATATTTATATTTTATAATTATTACTATTATTGATATACTAAATACTTCACCATTTTTAATATATTTTTTTTGTAATACTGAGAAATACAATAATTATTATTAATTATTGTATTTCAATAATTAATAATAATTATTGTATTTCAATAATTAATAATAATTATTGTATTTCAATAATTAATAATAATTATTGTATTTCTTGTGATTAAAAATTATTATTTTCAATAATAATTTTTATTATTTATCACAAACTACTAAACTTAGAAATTTGTTACAATACGTTTTACATTTTTTTGCTTCTTGGAAATTCAAAAAGAGTTTTTTTCTCAATCTGTTTGATAAATTCAGTTGTTTTAAAATGCCCTAAAATTCACTAAATCAATTATGAAAATTAAAAACAGGTGCACATTTAGTGTTCTTTCCATATGAAAAAAAATATATAGACATGTATAGTATCTTATAATTATAAACACTTTTCTTTATTATATCTTATAATTATTCATGTCAGTTTTTGTTATTATGAAAGTAAAATTTTATTCAGTTATTGGGTTGAATTAATAAAAGCTTGACTTTTTCCTATAGATTTATTAAAAAGCTTTATTGATGAAAAAAGAAATATTTGTGGTTCTTTAGAAAAACATATATATATATATATATATATATATATATATATATATATATATATATATATATATATATATATATATATATATATATATATATATATATAAATATTATGAAAAAGTTAAAAAAGCTCGAAAAATAGTCTAAATAAATGAAGCATCAGACTTGTGACAATATCAGTTAAATATTTTTTACTTCATTTTTCTTTAGGGATTTTGTATTCAAAGAGCTTACTAAACTTTATCCTACACATGCTTGTGCAGAGCTTAATTACATGTTTCCTCTTTTAGTTGAAAACTGTGGATACAAGTAATTTATTTAATATCCTAATAAAAGTATATTTTTCTATTTCATAATTTTTTAATTTTGTAATTGAAATATAAAATGTATTAATGTATTAAATATTTCTCACATTTAAATTTATTTACATTTTTAATTAAAATTCCATTAAAGGTTAATGATTGAAAAGGTTAATAGAAAGGTAACCAGTATTTTATTACATTAGGCTGCTGGCTAAGAAAAGATTATATTATATAATATATTATTATATTAAATATATATTTTTTATATTATACTATACTATATAAATCGTTTTGTTCTTGGTGTTAAACAAATTCTATATTGGTTTAGATGAGGCTCTTTATTAGTAGTAAAGAAAACTCTGTTTTTATTTACAATTGCAAAATTATTTCAAAAATATATTAGATTAAATTCATGCATTTTTAACAAACAAACTACATAAAAATGAATTTATTAGTTTCAAGTTATAAATAATATTAGAATAGTACACAGCAGAATTAAATTTAGTTTTTTCCATATAAGTTAATTTTTCAGTTAGTAAAGCTTTAAAAAAAAGTTTTCTATTTATCAATTAACAAGACATAACCAGATAAAAAAAGTTAATTAAAAAAGTTTGTTTAGACACACATTTTTTTAAGTACATACATTAAGAGGTATTTTAAGCTTTAAAAAAAAGCTCCTCATAAGTTTAGCTTGCTAGCTCTTCTTGAAGCTTTTAAGGAGATTTTTTATAAATTTATTGCGGTAAAAGTTGCATCATAATAAAATTAAACTCTTCTTTTTAATGAAATATTACAAAAATATATTTAAAGTAATATTTAGTATTTTAAAAGTTTGTTTTAAATTAATTCATCTTTTTGTTTAATTTGAGATTAAAATAATAATAGAAATTTGAAATTTCCCATGAGAAGAAAAACTATAAGTCAAGAAATCAAACAGCATATTATTAGCCCTAATATGGGAGGTCACTCTAACATTGAAATATCTCGAATTTTAAAGTGTGTTTCACCATCATGTGTAAGTAGAACTATTGCTAAGTTTAATGAAACTGGTAGTACTGCTAACAAAAAGCATTGTAGGCGGCCAAGAAAGACAAATAATACTGATGATAATTGTATTTATAGAATTGCCAGAAAAAATCTGAAATGCTCAGCAAAACAGATTGCACAAGAAATAAACCTGGCACTTAAAAATCAAGTATCAAGGCAAACAGTTATTGGGTTGTAACATAAGTTCGTAGAGTTTTTTCATAAAGATTTATTTGAACAAAAAACAATAATTATAATAATATATTAATCAATGATATATTCTCTGTTACTGTTTACGACCTCCTCCCATCTCTCGACCAATTTGTTGATGCTGTTTCGCCAAAAATCGGTCAGTCTGGTGTCGAAGAAGTTGTTGAGCCAGTTTTTAAGATCCTCTTTGCCATCAAAGGTAACATTAATAACCCCTCATTTGGTTTGATAGAGAGCGGAAAAGGTGATAGTCGGTAAGTGCAAGATCCGGAGAGTATGGTGGATGCTAAAGAACCTCCCATTCAAGCTCTTGGAGTGCTGTTTTGACGACTTGGGCAATATGGGGCCTAGCATTGTTGTGGAGCAAGATGACTTGACCTTGTCTATCGGGTTTTTTCAGCCAAATAGCCTCATTTACACGGTTCAGCTGGGCAATGTAGACCTCCTTGTTGACAGTGGCGTTTTGTTCGAGCATTTCCCAGTGCACCATGCCTTCCCAGTCCCACCAAACGCAGATCATGGCCTTTTTTGGGTGAAGATCTTACTTGACTCTCGGCTTTGGCATCTCTCCTGGGGCCACCCACTCCTTTCTTTGCTTCACATTGACGTACAGACACCATTTCTCATCTCCCGTGATGATTCAATACAAAAAGCGCTGTTTGTGTCCATATGTTGCTCGGTGGCGGGCGAGATGTTGAGCAGCAATTTGAAAGCGTTTTTCTTTGTTTTTTTTGTTGAGCTCGTGAGGTACCCATGCTCCGAGTTTTTGAGTAAAACTAATTGATTGAAGGTGGCGAGAGATTGTCATTGCACTGATTTTCATTTTTTCAGCCAATTCACGAGTTGTTTGGCAACCATCTTTTTTCAATAGTGCCTTCAGATGCTCTTCGTCGAATTCTGCAGGTCGTCCACTTCAAGGCGTGTCTTCAAGGTCAAAGTCGCCATTTTTAAACTTTGCGAACCATTTTTGTGCAGTAGACACACCTAGAACACCTTCCCCATACACACTGCATATGTCCCGAGCGGCTTTGGCTGCTTTTTGACCTCGATGAAAAGCAAAGAAAAGCAGATGTCAATAATGCTGATTTTTTCCTCCTGGGTATTCCATTTCTGAGCCAGAAAGAAGACGAACAATTAAATTATCCAAAAAAACAAATAAAACCGTTTTGTAGACGAGAACGAGCCCTTTTGAATGAATGTATACACTTTGCTAAAAAACAAAACAAATCGTTGTAAAATACCTCTAATGCAAAACTCTACGAACTTATGTTACAACCCAATAATAGAAGACTAATAGACCATAAGCTGTGGTGCTATGTTGCTGCCAGAAAACCATTATTAAAACCAACAGACCATTTCAAATGAGATAAATTTTGCAAAGCAATTTTAAAAATAAGTAATTATGAATTAAGAAAAATTGTTTTTAGTGATGAATCTTACTACACTATCCTAAATCGTAAAAACAAAGTACTTGTCCATAGGTACCACAATCAAAAGTATAATAGTCGCTGTATTGTACCTATACTACAAGGTGGAGATAGTGCAGTTGGTATTTGGGGCTGCATCACATATGATGGCCCAGGTCTACACACGTTACACAGTGGTCGAATGGACCAACATAGATACATTGAAAAATCTTAGATCCTTAGACAGATCCTTAAAAACTATTTAATGCCTACCAAGGACATTTTTTTTGGTAACGAGCCAGTTGTGATGTTTCAACAAGACAATGCCATAAAGCAAAATCTGTAACAGAATGGTTTGAGCTAAACAATATCAAGGTATTTCAGTGGCCAGCTAGATCACCTGATCTGAATCCAAATGAAATTGTTTGGACTGTGTTGGACTAAAAACTTACCAAAGAACCAGCAACGTCAGCTGAAAATCTGAAAGAAAATTTAAAAAAGTTGTTTAATGACTTGACAGTTAAATATTGTTGTAAACTTTTCGATTTTATAAGAAGAAGATGTTCATTATGCATAAAAAATAGAGGTGGTCACATTCCTTATTAAGATTTGACCTAAAAACAACTTCAAACCCAAGCGTGCTAAACTTATGAGCAGCTTTTTGTTTTCTTATTTTGAATGCTTAGTTTTTTTCAAAAAATTTAATATATATTTTTCGTCGTTTTTATATTATTTTTATCTTAATATGTTCTTAATAACCTAAAAAAAAAAATTGTTTGAAGTAACTAAAATTTTTTATGTTTTTCTTCTGTTTTTTACGTTCTAAAGAAAAATGATTTCATTGATTCTGCTGAATGCTAAACTTTTGAGAACTATTGTATAATGGTTTTTAATTAAATTAATGCAAAATAATGAAGTTTTTGATGAAGTTATTTTATATTTATTTAAAAAAAAACAAAAACAATAAACATAAAAAAATATTTATTATAAATTAAATTATACCCATTTATTTAAGGTTAACAAAAAATATTCAATTTATCTATTGATTAGAATTTATTAGCATAATTTTTAATTGATTATGTTTTGAACCTTACATGTTTATATTTTCAAAGCTGTTTGCATTTTTACTGTTTCTTTTAAAAAAAGAGTTGTACTTACTATATAAACATTTATGAATAAGAAAAATGTGTGAAGTACCTAAAATTAGTAACTTTTTTTTGTCTCAATACAATTAATAAATTTTTGTCTTAATACAATTAAAACAATAAAAATATAAAAACTTTAAAAAAAAATTTTTTTGCCATTAAAACTTGTAACGAGGTCTTTGAAGTAAGAAAAATACATAAAAAGAAAAATGATTTATGAATTAGAATAAGTATTTGAGAATAATTCTAACTTGTGACAATAACATTAAGGTTTAGTAAAACAAATATTTACTAAAAAGTCCTTCAGACATATATAGCAAAAGGCTCACGCATAATCCTGGCATAACCTCAAGGGTTAGCATGTCATTTTTTCTGTTTTATGTTTTTAATCATAATATTATGTTTAGATTGGGTAGCATACCACAGCTTGATGATGTTTCAAGGTTTCTTAAAGGTGAGCAATACTTTATTAAAAACATATTTAAAGACTGTTTTAATTCTAAATTTTAATAGTTGTAGTTGCTCTACACAACCTGTAATAAAAATTTCTAACAATAAAATATAAGATAAAAGTCATTCGATATGAAATCATCCAATAAAAACATTTTTTCCACCCTTTATGTCTTTGAGTTGCTTTATTTTTTCATCATTTGTGGTCCGTACTAAATAAATGGTAACTGTTGGTAACAGTAGTATTAACATTGCTAAAATAAAAAAAGTTTTTGCCATTAATTTTTTTTTTGTTCTAATATATTCAGATTTATTGTAAAAAAATTTTAAATTGTGGTAATAATATATTGTTGTCTATCGCATATTTAATATAAAAATTTACATTTAATTTTGAAAGCATTTAAAAATAAAAAGTTGTATAACTTTAATTAATATGGCAGTTAAACAGACTATTATTTAATAGGGTGGATTGAAAAAAAAATTTGTTTGAATCAAGTTGTTATAGCTGCCAAAATATGCTGTCTAATGTATATATTTCCAAGGTAAAAAAAAAATTTTTCTGGTGTGATCTTGAGCTTTCTCAGGAAAGAAATTCAAAATGGCTGCTTTTTGTTAATAAAATATGCTATGTGTGAAAATCAGTAAATATTCATTGAAATCAATATTTTTAGATAAAATTGAATCAAAGTTAATAGTATTAATATGTTACATTTTAATATTAATAAGTTATTTTTCAACATAAAGAATATTCCAATATGACTTTCCACATTTCAAAATGGCTGCTAACAATCCTTAAAATGATCCATTTGCACAAAAATTGGTTGTTTATAGTCATTTTTTATTGCTAAAAGTACAAAAAATAGAAATATAATTTGTTTTTGTCATATCATGTGTTATACAGTAATGATGTCATTCAATATTGTAAATAAAAGTACATAATAGCTGTCATTTATTATCTTAAAAAAATCAATTTGATTGTAGATCAAACAGATGTAGAAAAAATGATAGCAACTCTCACAGTCATAACAACTATACAAAACAATTATTTAGTGTTTATCCTCTGTTAAATTCTGATTTAATATTAAATGTTTGCATTATTGAATGAGATTCTAATCTTGATCATATAAAACCATCTCTTGATACAATACCATATGCAGCAGCTGTTGATTTTGGTGACTAATTTCATGCTTTTAACAGCCTGCGTATGGCAAATTCAATCATCTGTGATACACCATTAGCCGCAATTAGTTTCATTTCAATTTTAGATATATAAATAGTTAATGGTGGTTCAGTGATGCAGTTGTTTTTCCAGTTGATTTCCAGCTTAACATAATTGCCAACATCAAAGTTGAGTTCTGCTACTTTGATCTGTCTGATTCCTGTGGGTTGCTGGGAATTTGCTTTCAATATGTGGCAGATTCCTAGTTCTCTGATATGTTTTTAATCATCACTGATCATGGCTAAAAGAATATTTTTAGGATAGCCAAAATTATCCATTTGGATGACTTGGTCAACTATATTTTGCATTTCTGTAGATGAATAACATTTTTGATACCTGAGGTGTCTTGATCAAACTCTGTCAAGGCTTGTAAGTTTGTTAAAGGTTCTTTTGTTGAAAAATACAGACATATAATTCAGTTGGCTACAGTTAACCATCTTGAGTGATTTAAGCTCCCTGGAGATTTTTTTTATAAGACAAAAGAACATCGACCATTTAAAACTGTTTCACTAATTTCCCACAAATATTTTTGGTCAACACTAAGATCTTACAACTATTTGTACATTTACAACTAGCAAATCAGTTTTGACATTTTGATTTGGAACCACAGCTTGCCTGTGTAATGAAGTTAGACATTTATCAATTTGTCCTGAAAAGGCACTGATACCAGTTGTTGCTCTATCTAGCTGCTGCAATAAATACTGTAGTGGTAGTTCATTGGCATGTAACAAACAGACTTGACACTGTAATGGCTTATTAAGTTCTTAATCCAGAAGTTGAATAGCACCTCCCTTGTTTCTTGTATTAACATTTGTTTCATCAAGTCCAATAACTACACATTGCTTGTAATACCATTAGAGTAAAAAAAAATCACCTATATTCACTTTTATTTTCTTTTGTCAATCCATTGTGATGTATTACATGGCCAAGATATTTGACCCAGGTTCTTCTATCAAAGATAAATGTTCTTTAATAACAGTTTGGTGATAAAAGGGTGTTCATTTTTTATTTATTTATCATGGTTTTATCTTTGCGTTCATCAAAGAAAAGGCCACTTACTATAGCATCTTGATTTTGACTAAAGTTTACCTTTTTTTTTTTGTTATGCTCTGCTTATTTTGTTTGTTTCCAAGACTAGATTAATCGATTGGCAATTCCAAAATCATGCAAAATAAAATTTATGAAAAAATTTATGTTTATGCACATAGGTGCATCGTGCAGTTGTAAATTATGTGAAAAAATTCTTGTTCTTCTTTAGGAGCTTCACATCTTTTCTTTCACAGTTACAAAGAGAAAATACACACTTGCATGCTACATTGTCAAACAATAGTTCCTCACTGTTTAATCTAAAACAACACAAATTATTTTACAAAAAGTGTTTGTTTCTGTGATACCACCAGAATTTGTTAAGATTTGTTTATGTGACACCACTAGAACTGAGGCTTTATACCACATTTCTACAAAAGTAATAGCAACTGTTTCAGAAATACCAGTAACAGTCAGATTTTTATGCCTTTATTAGGTTTCATCTAATGCTTTACCAAGATAAATTATTTCAAAACATCTTCATAAGTTGGCAACAAATACTGTCTGCAATAAGAAAGGTAAAAAACAACTTTTGGTAACTATTACAACTTGACTAGAGAAAAATTAACTTTCACCCTATTGTTTAACTTTCATGCGTTGCACAATAATCAATAATAATCAATAAATTGAAATTAAATTGTTAATATTTATTTTCTTTTACAAATTGAAATTATATTTATTTTCTTTATAATATTTCTAAGAATGTACTGGTTTTACTCTTCGACCAGTGGCTGGCTTATTGTCTTCTCGTGATTTTTTGGCTGGTTTGGCATTTAGAGTATTTCACGCAACGCAATATATTAGACACAGTTCAACACCTATGTACACACCTGAGCCGTTAGTTTTTGTTTCTATTGAAAAAATAATTTTTTGTTTTATTATAAGGTAAATTATTAGCATAAATCTGCAGTAGTGCACACCTGAGATGTTATTTTTTTGCGGTGCTAAACTGCTGATTAATTAAAACTCTGTGTTAATTAATCATACTGAAATAGTTATCTACAGGGACTTTTGTGCATCCTGTGGACTGAAGATTTAGGCAGGTACTATCTACATTTTAAGAACATCTGCTGTGGCAAAATATTTAATTTTACTTTCATGATTATACACAGCTTATTATATGTAGCTCATTGATTTTACATACATACTTACATACATAGCAAGTTCTTGCCAACCTCATTTTTCCTAATTTCGAGGGTTATATATATATATATACACACACACACACACATATATATATATATATATATATATATATATATATATATATATATATATATATATATATATATATATATATATATATATATATATATATATTATCTACCATATTTATATGCGCACTTGCTCACTTTTTTTGCTCATCTAAATCAATATGGGTTTTTTAGAAAAAGAAGAAAAATAAAGAAGAATAATGAATGAAAAGATTGCTGCCCCATCTCAAAAACCTTAGGCTATGTAGCAACACTCTACTACGAGTCAGGCTATTTTTCAGTCAATGTATGTACTGAAGCCCTCGACAGCAGGCTATTTCAGTATGATGTCATACTGCTCACCTAACTCAGCAGTATAAGATATATAAATATATATATATATATATATATATATATATATATATATATATATATATATATATATATATATATATTCATTTATATATCTGATATAGCATATATAGATATACATTTATTCCCCTCTCCTCACCTCTATTTTATTATGATGTTATCACTGTTTTTATTTAAAATATTTTATTATGATGTTATCACTTGTTTTTATTTAAAATATTTATCGCTATATTAAGTTTTTTTCAACATAAATTTTTTTAATGCATTTAGAGATGTTGTTCATGAATTAATAGGCCATGTTCCTTTGTTTGCTGATCCAAGCTTTGCTCAGTTTTCTCAGGTACAGTTGCTTTGTTTGCTAATCCAACTCTTTTAATAAACTCTTTTATTTGGATAATGGGAATTTGCTTAATTTCATTAATAATAATTTAAGATTCTGAAAAACTAGCAAAAAGAAAAATATTACTATTTTAGGAAATTGGGCTAGCTTCTCTTGGTGCTTCAGATGACTGGATTGAAAAGTTGGCAACGGCAAGTAAAATTAACATTTTTAATTATTAAAAGATTTTTTGATTTAAACTTAAAATTATTTATGTAAACCATAAGGTTTCTGAAAACAGCTGTTTTATTATTTTAGTTTTATGGAAAACAGCTTTTAACAGCTTATTTCAAACAAAACTTTAAATTAGTACAATTTTATTCGATTTTGATCCTAATATAAACTTCACTTTTAATAATAGTGTTTCCAAAAGTGCTGACCTAGGCATGATCTTATTTTTGTACAGAAGTTGGTACACATTGAAAATACTTTTTCAATATCTTTATTTTTTGGCGTAATTGTTAATAATACATCATGAATTTTAATGTAGGTTTTCTTTATGTTGGCCTGTATGTTCGAAAAAAGTAAATTCAGCCATACACACTTGAAATTGTTCTGCCCAGAAGACACTCCTGGAGATTCATTTTTTTTAACAATACTTTAAGTTGCTTTAATAATATTAGCACCAAAAAGTCAAGATACTAAATTATTGTCACTCTGAATGATGTTATTGTAATTTTAATTATTGTAATTATAATTACAATAATTAAAATTATTGTAAGACTGCTCAGTAAAACCTGTATTCACCTCAAATTCATTACATCTATATTTCAGCATTCACCATATCCTCAGATTCATTACATCTGTATTCCAGCATTCACCATATCCTCAAATTTATTACATCAATTTTTTGCTAATTTGATTATTTATTAAGGTTTCTCAAACATGAATTCTTTATCTTGTTAGTACTTAATAGTGTTGAATCTTCTCTGCTAAGATTCTTTATAGCTAGTTTAACTGGTTTCATTGTCTCTAGTAAATCTTTTAAAGCATTAATGTTTATTTTATTGACTAGGTTTGAATCTGCCTTAAAATCTAATAAATTTTCTCGAGATGCTCTTTCTGTCTTTTGCAATGGCTCAAACATTATTAGTGTTGTGTTCCTATGAGTTTTACATGGATATGCAATCATGCTGAGATGCATTTTTTTTTTTAAAAAAAACAGTCATCTTTTTATTAGAAAACCTTTTGAACAGTTGACAGTTTGATATATTTTATTACCTTGCATAAGTTAGCAAGAAAATCATGTTCATAGTTGATATTATCTACACACTCATTATTTTTAACTTCAAAATTGATGCCTTTATCAAAAGAACCTTTTTTACTATTACCATAATCACAGGTGTCAATTAAGTCAAATTTTTTCTCATAAAATGTATTACATACATGTACAAATATGACCAATACCATATAGATTTTGAATATACATTTTGTTAACAGAAGGTTCATTCTAGGTAGATGCAACCAAATCTTTTTTTATTAATTTTCTGAAGACACTTAGATGTTATTTCATTTTATTTTAGAATTTATATTCATTTATCATGAATATAAACTCTAAAATATTTTTGTCCTCCTAAAATATTAACCTTATCAACCATCGATCATTAGGTTAGCTAAATTTTTACTTTTTTGGTTACTTTTAATTTTTACTTTTTTTTTTATTTCTTTGTGAAAAAGTTTCCTTACATTGCTTTCTTTAGTGGGAAGTTTGAATCCATCTTAGGGTATTGGCTGGTGAATGTATTAAATTCTGGTATTGGCTCGAATCGAAATGCCATTAGTAGTCAAATCAGAGACAATAGCTTTAAAAGCCTTTTGCGCTAAGAAATATGTGAATAGTTTTGTCTTTTTGCACTTGCTCTCTTATCTGTTAATTTTGTTGCCTTATCTAAATATTGTGACTTTTTAAAAGATTCTTTAAGGTAATTGTAGAATTTCATGAATATTTTTTTATTTTGTTACAACACTGACATTGTCCTTTGTCTTTTGTCATTTTATCTTTTGTCACATTGTCAAGTCTTTTGTCATTTTGTTTTTCTGTTTTGTTGCACTAGTCCAGACTGAGTTCTATATGATATACTGTAGTTTTTGTACTGTAGTTTTTCCATACACAATGTTATATGATATAGTACTGTAGTTTTTCCATACACAATGTTCTATATGATATAGTACTGTAGTTTTTCCATACACAATGTTAAATGAAAAAATAATAAACTATTATAGCAGTATTTTAATAGTCTCTGGCAAGTCTCTTGCAGAGGTGAAAATGAAAGGGTTTACAAAATGTATCATAAATCCAAAAGTTTAATAGACAACCCTTTTTTATTATACACTATAGGCGTATTTAAATACAGACAAAGCAATATATCAAACCAATTACAAAGAGCTTTGTATGATAAATATTTTAGTCAGGTTTTAATAATATAGAGTAAAAAATAAATTTTAGCATTCCTTCTAGAATTACTCTAATTCTGACCAAAACCAGAATAAACTCAAAATCATGAATTCTAGTCGGAGCAAACTTTCAGTTTTTTCCCTAATATTAGGCCATAAATTATTTAGAATTTTAAGATTTTTTTGTTTAGAAATGCAAGAAAAAGAGTTTTGAGAAAATTTAAATATATTTACTAATTCAAGATTTTTTTAAAAAAATGTACTCTTAAGTTCAAAGTGGGCTCTCTCAAGATGGCTTGAGTATTATTGCTTATTATTTAGTATTATTATTGAGTGTTATTAGTGAAAGGATACTGTGAAATTTTTTATTTCCAATAGCAATAATTTTTAAAATCTTAAATCTGAATCATTTGATTTTTTAAAAAATGTTATGCAAATAAGTATGATCTGATACAATGATACCTCTCCACCTACAACTGTGTAATCCATCTACAACTGAAATATCTGTAATTGAATAACTATTATTAGATTCAGTTTAGATAAAAAATAATAAACTTTGTCATAAATATTTCATTATATTCTCTACTCCATATTTTATCATGTTTTACAATTTCCAGAAATGTAGGTCTTAAGACTAAAGTCTTGATCTTGGTCTTGAACATCAAGATAGTGAATAGATTGATAATAACCTGTACATAAGATTTGTACCTGAAAGATGTGTACTAAATTTCTTTATGCATACTAGTCTTTGTTAGGTTGTCAAAACAAAAGTTGTGAGATCAAATGATCATAGTTTTCTGTTTAACTTTGCAAGCATACATAGTGTTAGACATTTAAGAATGTCTTGATCTTGTTCTTATGAAAACTTTTAAAGTCTTAGTCTTGGGTTGACTTTTTGATATTGTGATCTTGGTATTGGTCTCGAAATTTTAAGATTTGGTCTTGGTCTTCAGTTCAAATAGTTTGGTCTTAGTCTTGGTCTTGGCCTTTATTGTCTTGGCTACATCGCTGACTATTTCTGAGATTTAAAAAATATTATTTTTCTAATCTTTTTTTTTTTTTTTTTTTTCAAATTTTCAAAAAATGGGTGGCTTAAATTTTTGATTTTAATTATTTATCTAAGTTTGATAGTTTAGATTTTAATTATTTATCTAAGTTTGATAGTTTAGATTTTAGATTTTAATTATTTATCTAAGTTTGATAGTTTAGATTTTAGATTTTAATTATTTTATGATTTTTGATTTTAATAAGATTTTATCTTAGATTATATCTTTAATTAAAAATTTTAGAATTTTCTTTGATTAAAATAAACTCAATTTTTCTTTGTTAGAAAATAGCCTTAGTTTTTTTTTTTTTTCCTTTAAAAATATGTTTTTGTTTTTTTTTCTTTATTTAAAAATTAGTATAGATTTATTTTTCAATAATTAAAAATAAGCTTAGTTTTATTTTTTTTTTCTTTATTTAAAAATTAGTTTTAGATTTATTTTTCAATGATTAAAAATAAGTTTTAGACTTTTCAAATGTGAATTTCAAATGGTTTATAATTTGCATAATTTGCAATTCATAAAGAAGTTTAAAAACTCTTTATTATAATAAATGAAGATTTATACATTAAAAACTTTATTTAGTGTGAACTTATTTTGTTTTACAGTTCATGTGTAAATCCAAATGTTGTCTCTAAAATATTTTAATTCAGTAGCAGCAATTTTTTCCAATAAAATCTAAACTTATTTAAACTATTTGCAAAAGAAAACTGATACAAATAAAGGATATAAAGAAATTAAATTAAAAAAATAAGAAAAGTTTAGAAATAAAAAAACATCTGAATAATTTTATTGTGGTTACAACCCTTTCTCAACTCATATATATATATATATATATATATATATATATATATATATATATATATAATATATATATATATATATATATATATATATATATATATATATATATATATATATATATATATATATATATATATATATATATGAGTTGGGAACTAAAAGATAAAAATATTGACGATTTTATACTGTATTGGTCCATCCTTAAAACAGCGCTTGCATACAATATTTCCAAAAAATGGATACTATGTCTACAAGAAAAATTTCAAATAATTACACATGCAAACCAAGAATGTTTGTTAAACAAAAAATAGGAATTGATTTCTAAATGCAGGCACGAAAATAAGTTTCTCCTAAAAAACTATAAAAATAAGTGAGCTCAAATAATAGTTACATTAAATCCCCCCTTTTTTAAAAATATTTTTATAAAAAAAAGCATAAGTGATTGTTTCTAAAGAATTCAACAAATTGTGAAAATTTACAGTAGTTAAAATATTTGTGACTTCCTGTAATTTAACTTTTTTGGTTTAAATTGAAGTTTTATTAATTTGATCATTCATTTCTGATGAGTCTTCGTTGATGAAACACAGTGTAAAATAAAATAAAAAATTTTGTCAAGTGATTTTCTACTAATTTATACATTATAATTTATACTATTCAATCGAAACACTACAAAAATTAGCTACAGCTGCTCAAACAACATTTCAAAAATCATAAAAAGTCACTTCAAAAAAATAAATTCAATTAACATGACTGAAAATCTCCCTTGCAATTGCAAACAAAAAGAAAGCTGCCTGCTGAATAAATATTTTAGAGGGACAAAGATAATTTACAAAATGTATAACATCTTCCCCAAACACGCCCAACAAAGCGTACATTGGTTTATCAGAGGGGGTGTGGAATAAGAGACATGCAAACCACCAGCAATCATTTACAAATAAAAAACTTTCAAATGCAGAAAATTTTTCTGGTGTTTCTTTCAAACTGAAAGAAACACCAGAGTTAACTTTGTCTATCCTAAAAAAGGCCCCTGCTTACAACAAAAAAGTATTTGCTTTGTTTATGTGAAAAACTTATAATTTTACTTTATAAAAATGCTGAAGAGCTTCTTATAAAAAAAAATTAATTTTTAAATGTCGTCACGAAAATAAATTTCTATTTTAATATAATAATAATATAATAAATACAGATATAGTTTGTTTGTTAAAAAATTATATACAGTTGAAACTGAATAACATGTATAACATCTTGCTTTTAAGCAACCACAAATCTGAAGATTAGATTTATATATATATATATATATATATATATATATATATATATATATATATATATATATATATATATATATATATATATATATATATATATATATATATATATATATATATATATATATATATATATAATGATGATGATAATGATTTGCAAATAAACTAGATCATACTAACTAAATTGGAGTTTGAATTTGAAATTAGCATTAAAATTTGAGCATTTCATTTGAATTTGAAATTAGTATTAAAAAGTACATAAAATTTTTTCTTAATATTTTGCAACATAAATTTTTTTTTTTTTTTTGTCGTCTTGGTCTGAATGACCTTTGTGTTTTGACCAAATACTCTGTATTCACATATTTGTTCTAAAAGTAAAAACTTAGAATTTAGAGGAAAAAATAATTTTTAATTTTTTAATTTACTATTACTTTAATTTTTAAAAATATTAAATTATATGGTTTTAAAATTATACTTTTTTAAAATTATATTTCATATTAATGTCATAAAAATTCTTTAAAAATCCAGCAGAAATATGAAAACAGTATTTATTACATACTAATTTGGTTGAAATAAAAATAAAAAAGATAAAGCGCAAGGTTTTAGAGAATTGTACATGTGAAAGTAATTTTTTGTAATTTTTGTATTATCAGCTGTAATCTTGTATTATAAAAAAACATTTTGATAATATCTAAATAGAATAATTTGTGGGTTTTCTTTTAAGAATTTTCATAGAATTTTGTGCATAGGATATCTTAATTAAATCATTTGAGAATGCACTAGTTAAATTTGGGTTTTTTTGAAACCTTGTGATTGGGGTTTGTTGGAATGTTTGAGTTTTAAGATATCACTTACATTTCTTCTATTTTTGTTCATATATTATTTTTGTTATTTTATAATTATCCATACCAGC